CCTTTTTAATTATGCTGTTCCCTTGTAATACATCATGTCAGGATTTGGTAACCTTATAGCTTTGCTGTTTTAAGTGTTTTTGTCAAGTATCTGTCACACTGGATGCCATCAGACTTTAGGGGAAAACCCAAGACGTGATCTAAGAATCAACAGTATTATATTTATTTTAACCATGGGCTGTGGTACTGCTGCTGTTGGCCTGTAGCTAGTGAAGCTGGCTGTCTCCCCTGAGATTAGCATCAGTGAACCAGATACTACTGCACAGTGTCACATACTTCATGGCAGTCTCACTGGGAACAAACTGTGGAATATGCAACACTAAACCATTTCTGTCAGGCTTAGTATTGTGAGAGGTAGAATCTCCTCCAGGGCAATGGGAAACAGCAAGGCCATGCAGTTATCTTTAGAAATAAAGACTCTTATTTTTCACAATGAAAAATTAATTTCTAATTATAAGGGAGGATTTTAAAACTCTGTCCTGACTCTCTCTTTGGTTCTAATATTGATCAATGAATGCAAATCCCACTCCTGTCTCCTTGTGCTGCATCCCAAAAATGTCCTGCCTCCTTCTGTCTGAACTGTAGACTTGAGTTCAGCTCTTGAGCTACTGTCTGAGTCATGGCAACATTCTTCTCACAGATCTCTTCCCTCCCTTTTTAGTCACTGGGGATAAAACCTCTCCAGTCATTCAGCCTCATAACTGGGGCACTGTCTTTGACTTTTCTACAACCTAATATTCTGGTTAAGTCTAAGTCCTGCATAAAAGGTTGAAGACCTATTTCCTTTTTCATTTTTACAGATTGTGAATTCATCTGTTACCTTCTCACCTGAAGTCATCTTTGCCCTTGTCATGGCTTCAGCATGTGAAATCCATCCAAATTAAACCAATAAGATAATGTTGCTGTCTTCCTGCTTTGACCATGTCACTATTTTGACCACTTTGTGTGTATTGTGACTGATTTGCCCCTCTCTGTGGGTAAAATTGAGCTGTACTCTTTTACAAAGCCACAGACACTATCCTGTCCCACTACTAGTTTCTCACTAGGTGTTAAAGTGAATTCCCATATCAAAGTCCACAATACCAGCCTGCACTACGCCTGCTGAAAGCAAAGCACCTCCTAGCTCCCTTCTATGTTGTTCCTTACTGTAGGGGGCCCCTAAGAGTCTCCATTTTTAAATTCATCTTCAAATCCTCCTTAAAAGGCTTTTTGCTTTGATATAATACAACTCAAAGCAGACCAACGGTTAAGTTGTCGTTGTCTTCTTGCTGCTTTTGAGCCCATTAAGGAATGCTGCTTCATTTTTTCCTTTTTCTGATGGATGATTTTTGCTGTTTCTAAATTGCAAGTTGCTGGAGACATGGACTCCTGTCTTTTTTCCTTTGTGTTTTTACAGCATGAAGCACAGAGGGATCTCAGGCCCACCATTACAATGCCTGCATGCTAACACACATACTAAAAACTATCATTTTCATACAGAAAACACTAGGTAAATATCCACTATGAATGATGGGTGAGGTTTCATAATTAAAAAAGCAGTGGAGCAGTAACAAACTTGCTCTCTTGAAAGCAGATTTGTAGTGTTTAATCCTCAGGCATGACTTACTAATTCAGAAATTCTGATTGAAAAAGGAAATTACAAAGCCTGGATGACTTTCCCTGTCACTATTGAGGTAAAAAGTGTATGTTCTGGCTAGTCTGGTTTAATTTTCTTTTTCCTTTTTGACCAGCTCATCTGCTGAGCCATCTTTTTCACATCATCTATACTTGTACCTCTTACATTCCCCAGATTTGTGCCTTGCTTGTAACCTCTGCCAGTGATTACACATGCTCTTGTGGCTGGTGCAGTTCCTGATCATCCACCTGTGGATCCTACCCAGCTTTGCTGCTGCTTGCTCACCAGCCTGGGGAGCAAGTCCTCAGTGCATCTTCTGTCTCCATCATTGGGACTTTCAGCTGTTACCTGGCAAGGTAAGCCGTTACACTTAATCCTAATTAATGTCAGTGGAATAGGAGTCACACCTCTGCTCTCAGATCTGACCATACTGCCTGTTAGTTCCCAGGGCAGTTCAAGGGATTGGCTTTGACCTACAGAGGCCCAAGAGGTTATCTTTCTACATGTGCAGTTCAACAATACTTTATATAAAGCTACTCATGGAAGGAAGGAAGTGAGTGATTAGATAGGTTTATTCTTGAAACCTCATTCCTCTTTTATATAAGCCTTTTTATATAAGCCGTAATCATTTAGGTGACTTCAGCATTACAAATCCCTTACCCATAAGCAAACAAAATAGTGCGTTTTGGTGCTGATTTTGACATAGTCATAGAATAATAGAAGTGCTTGGGTCAGAAGGGACCTTAAAGACCATGAAGTTCCAACCCCACCCCACAGGCAGGGATGCCTTCCACTAGATCAGGTTGCTCAGAGTCCCATCCAACCTCGCCTTGAACACTTCCAGGAGTTGACCTCTTTTCCCAGGCAACAAGTGACAGGACAAGAGGAAATGTCCTCAAGCTGCACCCGGGGAGGTTCAGGTTGGACTTTAAGAATTTTTTTCACTGAAAGGGTGGTCAGGCATTGGAATGGACTACCCAGGTAGGTGGTGGAGGCACCATCCCTGGAAGTGTTGTGAAGTCACTGGATATGACACTTGGTGCTATGATTTGGTTGGCATGGTGGTGTTTGGCCAATGGTTGGATTCAATGATCTTGGACAGGTACATTTCCCAGATCCAGCTGTCAAAATTGCATGAAATTTTGTTATTTTCTACATTACCTAATTAATTGTAGTTATTAATTATAATCACATAATTATCTACAGGTAGATAGGCAATAGATAATGTTCACAGACCATAAAGTGACTCTTAACTTGAAGAAAAATGTGGCACACACAAAATGAAGGCAACTCTGTGACTGATGTCACTCTCTCATTAG